ATCTCTGGATCTTGGGCGACGTCTTCATCCGCCAGTACTATACCGTCTTTGACAGGGCAAACAATCAGGTCGGCCTGGCCCCCGTGGCTTAAGCATGAAGTCTTCTGGCCACTTCCCAAGAAGTCCTGGCCTCAATTCTGTGCCCACTCTAGATGTACATAATTCTCCTAGTTGTCTTCCTGTGGGGTTGTGAAGGTGGATTCTCGGCCCTGTCCCCACCCCGCCTTGTGCCAATGATGTAGAATAAAAACGTAGCCTACTGAAAAATGCTTTATGGAGTTCCTTCTCTTTGTTGGTATTTCTCCTTCACGTCACCAGAGTCAGGACACCAGGGCTGGGGACAGAAATGACCATGTCCACTCGGACAGCACCTAACACAGTGACACAGGCAGTAGACACTTTATCCTAGAGCCAGGAAGACAAATGGGGCTCAGAATGGGGGCAGAAATGCTGTGCTCCATGACTTCCCCATAGAATAGGGCAGTTAAGCTCTTGGTTGAGGGGTCATCTTATTTCCCCCAAATCCGTGAGATGATAAGGAATAGAAAGGCTTCCGGCCACTGATGGTGATGTTCCTAAGCAGGCAGGCCAAGGCGAGGTTGTCCATAAGACATGTGCAGGAGAGGTAACAGACGCTGACACTCCACAGTCTACAGGCTGCACTTTGTGATTAGCTTGTTGATCAAGACCAACAACTGAGGACCTTCCAACATCACCACCTATCTATAAGTGTTGCCCTGTGGTGGCTTGAGAGCTGCTATGATGCTGGAAGCTATGCCACCGGTATTTGAAATACCAGCAGGGTCACCTATGGTGGACAGGTTTCAGTGGCACTTCCAGACCAAGACAGACTAGGAAGGAAGGCATAGAGATCAACTTCTGAAAATCAGTCAATGGAAACCCTATGGATCACAACAGAACACTGTCTGATATAGTGCTGGAAGATGAGCCCCTCAAGTTGGAAGGTACTACACAGGAGCCACAATGATAGACTCAAACATACCTATGATCATGAAGATGGTGCAGGACCGGGCAAGGCTTGTTCTGTTATAAATAAGGTCACATGAGTTTGCACCTATACTTGACAGCAACTAACAACACCCAGCACTCTGGTGGCACTTCATGGATCCATTTCCCCATCTGTAATTTAACGAGGATGGTTTTCCACTTCCTTCCCCAAGCACAGGTTGTGAGAGAGAACTGAGCTTAGACGCCCTAGAAATGCAAGCAGGAGTATTCAGAGCAGTGTTTCACGCGTGCATTTGTAGCAAAATGTTCCATGAAAACCAAAGTTTCCAAGTAAGTATGGAACATGCTCTATCCTAGGCCCTTCTAGGAGGTTCGCAAAGCACATTTCCCCATCAAAGCCTCCGAGAAGTCCTGCCACAAAGTGACCTCTTTCACTTTCAGCTCAGCTTAGCTTGATCCCAGTTCCTCTTCCTCTCGTAAACCTATTACGCAGTCTTGTGCTCTTCCGCACGCACACTGGAAAACTCCCATGGTTCCTGCCTCTGCCGACAGCTGGATCCCAGGCAGGAGACACTAGCCCGAGGGCTGGGGCTGGGCGTCCCTGCTGAGAGGAAGTGTTTTGGGGCACCCAGACCAAGATGCCTTAAGAGACCCTCTGTAAAAATGGCAGCACAACGCCATTTTTACACTCTCATCCCATTGTTCCCCGGTTTGTAATTTATCACTCGCACAAATATAAATGTTGAACTCTAGGAAGGCTAGGGGTGAGC